TGTGTGTTCTTAACTGTAAAGTGGGCGTAATTATGGTATCTATATCATGAAAAGGGAATACTGATGACACAATGCAGTAAGCATTGTGTTGTTAACCCAAATGTCAGTGGTTTGAACCCACAAGTCCTTGTTTGGGAGAAAGATATGCAGTCGTCTTCTTTAAAGATTTACACCTGTAGAGACCCTAAGGCGTGGCTCTACTCTGCCCTGCAAAGCCACTATGACTCAGAATTGACTCTGGCTGTAGATTAGTGACATCATGAAATTATCGGGAGATTTAAATAAGCTTGTGCATATTCACTCTAGGGGCTATTCCTGATTTTGTTCTTTTCCTTAACCCTGCCATTTCTACCCATAAACAGATCCTGCTTCTCAAGATCATCTGAATCTTTTCTTCCCTTTATTTTCATTACTAATGCACCAGTCCATGTAATGCTTCCCATTACATGTAGTATGAAACCTAGATGATTTACCCAGGCTTACAGATTTAATCTATTTCTTGCTAATTTTTTCTTGTCCTACATGTTTCTGCCACAGTGATTTTCTGTTTTCGGACCATCCTAGGTTCTTTGTTCTATGCTTGTCCCTCTGTCTAGGATGTTTTTGCCTGTAAATTATAGGTAATCCCTGATTTATGATGTATTTGAATTACAGTGAGCCATATTTACTATTATTAGTGTACCTGGAACATGGCATCTTCCTGGGAGGGAGGTACTTCATATACTCGTACATAAGCCGAGTTTTCCAGCACATTTTTAATACAGTTTTTGTGGTAAAATTAAGTGCCTGAGCTTGTATTCGGGCCAGCTTATACTCGAGTATATACGGTAATATCAGAAAATGCATGCAGGGGCTATGGACAAAATTGCCTAGTTATGTGAACGTGCTCCAAACATTTAATCAGGATAATATGATGGAAGACACCAGTAGGAAAATTGCCCATGTGGCTAAAACAATAACTTTAAGACTTGATACCCCTGCAGTGAAACAGCTGATAGATCATGAAGAAGGGGAATTGATAGATTAAGACTTACTGGATTCTGAAGAAGAAAGAAATGTTGATGAAGAAACAATGAAGAAGAGAGCGAGGTTATCAACAAATGTTTCAGTGAAGAATTAACTGGAATTTTTTTCCCAAACTAACCTAAGGGCTTCAGTTGCTTGAAAATATGAACCCCAATGCTGATTGTTTTCCTAACATCCATAGACATATGGGAAGCTGTGAGATGTTCATACAAAATATATGAATATACATATACATATATGCCACTACCATCTATATACCACTTCATATACATACATATGTATGTATGTATGTGTATGTATATGTATATATATGGTCATACAGACAATTCTCAATAGTTTTCTGACTTGAAACGTCATTCCCATTCTCAGGGATTAAGCCAGATGATTCAGAACCTTCCAGAAGTAGTTATTATGACAGCTAACAAAAATACCAATATTGTCCCACTCTTCTTCATGTAAATTTTTAGTCTATTAAAATAAAACTGTAAGTTTATATGTTTATGTATGCTTCCTATTCCCAAAGACAAATAAAGATAGATTTATAAAGATAAATGGTAATAATAATGAAAACTATTTTAAAAAATGTATTCGACCTATGGCAGAACTAAGTTGTGACGGTGCTTTTTGATTGGAGCGGGAAAGCTGGGGCTTTCTACTCCAGTAGAGTTACAGTTTCAGAAACCCACAGAGGCAGTTCTACCTCTCCCTCTAGGGTTGCCATGAATCAGAATTGACTTGATGGCATTGAGTTTCATTTTTGTTTTGTTTTGGAATGGAAGCCCATCATAGACGGAGACTTCCTGTAGTTCTCTAGCCATACCAGATAAATCTTGAAGTCTCTTTCTTTCCTCTCTTCTCTGCTGTTTCTCCATATTAAATCTGAGATTGTCTAACTGGTCTTGCCTTTAAAATATGCCCAGAATCTGTTCACTTTTCACCACTTCGCCACAAATACATTTTTGTCATTATCATCTTAGCCTGGTTTATTGCAGGAGCCTCCTAATTGGTCTTCTTGTTTCTATCTGTATTGTCTTATCTTAATGTTCCCTACTCTGTGTGCTGTCTTAATGCTCGCTGCCTCTCTAGTTTCTGATACCCATTGCAATGGCTACACAGCACTCCCATACAAAATTCATGATTAAAGGTTTATTAAGGAAGTTAACAAGTTGTAATGCCAGTGAGAAATGCTCAGAGTAAAGTTATCAGGACGTGATACAAAGGTTTTTCAAGTCTGCTAATACCCAAAGGGGCATACCACTCCATTGGGAGCTTCAACCCAAAGGCATTCAGCTCAAGCTCCATTGATCAGCAAATTTAGCTCCCTGAATTGTTAAATGCCTGGAGGCATCCCCAATCCACGCCAGTCTCCTGCACAAAAGCACTCAGCTTTACTTTTTCTGTGTTCTGGGAAGATGTCGTCCCACATGCTGGCTCCTGATTCTGCTGCTGCTGCTCCTCTGATGTATCCAGGAGGTTCACTTTGCAGTGATTGTGGGTTCGGTGGCCACCCTCCACTCCTTGCTCTTGTTAGTATGAGATACCCCCTCCTGCTTCTCAGAGGACTAATTGTACATGCAGCACAATGACATTCCAGGGAATCCTGTTCACAGTCACTCACAGGTGAATCTTAATATCGTTCCCTCACCTTGCCAGACTTATTCAGGAAAAGATCATTTGGTGAGCGTTAGAGACTTTGACCAGAAGAGCTGTGTTAAGTGATTCACTGCCCCTGCATTCTGCTTTCCACTTGGCCTTAAAAAAAAAAGACTATGCTTTAGAATAGTTTTAGATGTACAGAAAAATAGAGAGGATAATAGAGTTCTCATATATTCTATAGCTAGCTCTCCCTATTAATATCATTATTACATTATTGAATGTACTCTATTAATGTAGTGCATTTGTTACAATTAAAGATTCAATATAACTATATCATTAGTCACTAATGTTCATGGTTTATTTAGATTTCTTGGCTTTTTATCTGTTGTCTTTCTCTGCTCTAGGCTCCCACCCAGGACCCCACATTTACTTGCCACATCTCCTTAGGCTCCTCTTGGCTGTGAAAGTTTCTCAGACTTTTCTTGTTTGGGATGTTCTTGACAGTTTTGTGGAGTTACTGGTCAAGTATTTTATAGGATGCCCCCTGCTGGGATTATCGATTGTTCATCTCATGATTGGACAGGTTATAGGTTTGGAGAGGAAGACAACAGAAGTAAAGTGCCATTGTCATCATGTTAAACCAAAGGTCTATACTAACGACATGATTTTTACATGATCTAGCCCTCCATTCCTTCTCCAAATTTGTCTCCTACTACTCTCTACTTTATAAATTCTAATCCTGTTTATTGACTTTGAAGTTTCAACCATGTCAAGTTTTACTTCTTTCTTAAAGCCTTTGTATTTGCTGCCTCCTGGGCATTAGGTGAAGAGTCCTACTGCCACAGTCATTTATGTGTTAGACTACCACCCTCGTGGTCAGCAGTTTGAACCCACCAATCACTTTACAGGAGGAAGATGAAACTTTTAGCTCCTGTGAAGATTTACAGCCCGGAAACACAAAGGGGCATCTCTACTCTGTTCTGTAGGTCCCTTTGCTGTCTATGAGTCATAATCAAGCTGGTGACTTTTGAGTGTCTTAGGTATTTTAATCCCTAGGTAGCTATATGATTTGCATCCCAACATTTGGTTTTTGTTCAAATGTCACCTTATCAGAGAGTATTCCTTGAGTCTAAAAATTGTACATCACTTCCATTATGTCTGTTCCTTACTCTGCTTATTTTCTCTCCTGTTTACCTTACATGACATTTAAAATTCATGTTTATTGTTATGCCCCTGCTACTAGCTTTTCATCTGTTGTCTTTCTCTGCTCTAGGATCCCACCCAGGACCCCACATTACATTTACTTGCTACATCTCCTTAGGCTTCTCTTGGCTGTGAAAGTTTCTCAGACTTTTCTTGTTTGGGATGTTCTTGACAGTTTATAAACAACTACTAGAATATGAACGCTAAGAATGTCTGAGCTTTGTCTATTTGGTCATTGGTCTGTTCTCAGCAACTACAACCATGCCTGGCACATGGTAGATGCTCAATAGATATTTATCAGTGAATGATCGTCCAAATTGCTTTCTGGAAAAAAAAAGTGCCATTTTATAACACTGTAAGTACATTGAAATGCTTGCAGAGGGGTCTCGGGGAGGAGCTGAGCCAGTCAGGGTGCGATGTAACAATGATGAGAAATACAACCTTCCTCTAGTTCCTAAAGGTTTCCTCCCCGCTCCCACTACCATGACTCGAATTCTATCTTGCAAGACTGGCTAGACCAGAGGAGGTACACTGGTACAGATAGGAACTGAAAATACAGGGAATCCAGGACGGATGAGCCCTATAGGACCAGTGATGTGAGTGGCAAAACAGGGAGGGTAAAGGGAGAATGGGTAGGAAAGAGGGAACCGATTACATGGAACTGTGTGTGACCTCCTCCCTGGGGGACAGACAACCAAAAAGTGGATGAAGGGAGACGTCGGACAGGGCAAGATATGACAAAATACCCATGAATAACCTATCAATGGCTCATGCGGGAGGGGGGAGCGGGGAGGGAGGGGAAAAATGAGAACCTAATGTCGGGGGTTTAAATGGAGAGAAAATGTTTTGAGAAATGATGTACAAATACGCTTTACACAATTGATGTGTGTATGGATTGGGATAACAGTTGTATGAGCCCCTAATAAAATGTTAAAAAAGGAAAAAAAAAAAAAGAAATGCTTGCATCACTGTGTCAGCCGCAGAGATTGCTGTTTTTAATGATATTTGATAGGTGAAAATTATCTTTTGATGATTACTACTAAAGGAAAACTCTCAATTTTTGTCTATTGAGTTATTGATGTTTCATAAGCTATTTTAAAATTCTAGATGACTGGGTATCTAGATACATCAGTAGTATGGTAGGTACATGAAATAACTTACTTTTTCTCTCTTAGGTTATTATAGTGACCACATCACCAAGTTCCACCTTCGTGCCCAACATCCTCTCAAAATCCCACAACTATGCAGCAGTCACCAAGCTTGTACCAACATCAGTCATTGCTTCCACAACCCAGAAACCGCCAGTGGTTATAACTGCTTCACAGTCTTCTCTGCTCAGTAGTAGCAGCAGTGGCAACAGCAGCAGCTCTACACCATCACCTATTCCTAACACAGTTGCAGTAACAGCTGTAGTATCTTCCACACCATCTGTGGTCATGTCAACAGTAGCACAAGGTGAGTGATGATTTAACAGTTAATTCTGTCCCTGGCAGTCAGTTTTGAGTGTGCTTCTGTGCTTTGGGTGTGAAGGTCCCTTACTGTTATTTCAGGATTACCAGTTGCCCTCGCTGTAATTTGACAGCATCAAGATAGTGGGTTGCTCAGTTTTCTTACATGGATATATGTAACCCCAAGTTTTAAAATATAAACACAAACGCATAGTAGATAGTCACCTTGGAAATTACCATTCACAGAATGTAGGTTAAATCCTGGCACAAGCAATTTCAAAGGATATGCACATATGCCAGGTATACTGAAAATTTTTATGGGAGACTTAAAATTATATTACTATGGCTTCTTCAGAAGAATCAAGTATACAACCTTTATAAAATAAGTTACTCAGTGGTCAGAACTTGAGGAAAGAAGATGGTTTCAAGGACATGCCAGCTTCAGTGTCTGGAGTTAGACACTGCCCAGTAGATGATGGAGGTGCTAGCTGAGAGAATGGAATGCTTAGCTGGAGGACTTGCTGCTTCACAGCAGAGGAAGGGAAATGTGGAAACCTAAGTTCCATCTTAACCTAAATCAATTTAGCTCACTGTATCTTTGTGTTTCTTCTGTATGAAAGGTAACTAGCATACTGTTTTGTTTTGCTTTAGCATGTTGGTAAGTTTTAGGACAGGGCTCAGAGGTCACTATGCACCTCACAACAACAACACCATGTATTTGGTAGGAGTTACAGAGAGATGGGTAGAAGAGCCACACTAAGAGGTTTTACCTGACCATAGCTGCCGGACTGCTTGCCACACTGGCTGTACTATTTTGCATTCCCACTCGACAGTTCCAATTCTTATCCATTCATTTTACTCTGTTACTGTTGCCAACACCTGTTAATATTATTATTACTATTTTTATGGTAGTCATTCTAGGGGAGGAGAAGTGCTATTTCTTTCCTATTTTTTGTAAAATGCTTTTTTTATTATATCTCAAATTAACTGATTATTTTTCATTGACCGAACAACGAACAGTTATGTATTACTCGGTTGGATTACTAGTAACTGTTCTGCTTTTTATTTTGTCTCTTTGTTAACTAAATCCTATTATAATTGTCTGTTCTACTCTGGTGAACTTTTCTTTCATCTTATTCTCATAGTTCTTTGTTGAGTTCATGAATTGCTTATCTAATATGGTGGGTTCTTTATTTTCCCTCTTTGATCCACTTCACCCTAAATAACACCTTAATACAATTACATTGTATCCGCTAATACTCAAATTCTCTTTGCCTTATGAATTTTTCTTAGTTTGGCTTAAATAAAGCTCCTATTTCCTATTTCTTTTAGAGGAAATCCTTTCCTTGAGAAATGCCGCAACCTTACTACTTCAAAGATGGGTCTCATTAAGCAACCTTTTCAGTCTCTGCAAAGTCTCAGAGAACAAACATTACCAATACTCTCACCACTACCACAAAAGCATTTTCCATTTTTATGTTTTTATCTATATATTCCTGTGAATAATATTTTTTACATATTGAAAATTAGGAAATCTATATTCTATTTGACATGCATTTGTCATGTAACATCATTAATATTCTGTTTTTGATAATTATCCTAATTTTTGGTGCTATTTCATATTTTTATTATTACATAGTTTTCTAATTAATCCCTTATTGGAGATTCTGAGGAGTTCTAGTTTGGGATATTCTAAAATTAACTGTAATAAACATCTTTGTGAGTAATGAACCCTTGTTTCTTAGAACCAGCTCTCAGGAGCAGGGTTGCCAAATCAAAGGGGTTAAAAATGTGGAGTTTGCTAAATGGCATGTCTTATCTCCCTGGAATACATCATCTTAGAATATTTCATTAGTATCTTGCTACTGTAAAGTTCTCTACCTACCCTTCCACCCCTTAAGTTAAAAACAAAACCAAATCCAACTGACTGGCATAATGTTTAATAACCAATCATGTGTTTTATAGCTAATTTTCAGGATTCTGTAAGCTCTGTGGCTATAAGACATAGCGCAGTGTAATGGTGTTACGTGTATGAGTCCTGTTTCTCCTCCACTTCCATGTGGCATATTTTTTAACTGTGCATTGAGGAATAAGTCACATACACTACAATTTGACAATTTTAAGTAGATATTATGATTATTTCCCCCTACATTTGCCACTCCTCCTCACCCCCAGGTTACCACCACTATTGTTTTGTTAGATTGTCATAGTCCAGATATTTCCTGTAAGTGAGATTATAGAATATTTGTCCTTTTGTGTCTGGTTTATTATACCTAGCATAATGTTTTATAGGGTAGAATGTATCAGAATGTCGTTTTTCTTTGTAGCTGAATAATACTACCTTATGTATTTATACCATATTTTTTTAATAGACACTTGAGCTGTTTTCTATCTTTTAACTGTTGTGAAAAATATGGCATATATTGGTGTGTGTGTATGTGAGTACTGTTTTTGATTTTTTTGCTGGGGGGGGGGTATGTACCTAGGAAAGGCACGCTTGTGTCAAATGGCATTTCTTCGTTTAACAATTTTAGAAACCACAAGCTGTTTCTCCAGTGGCTGCACTGGTTTTCATCTCCCCAGCAATGTATGAGAGTTCTAATTTCTCCATAACGTTGCAAAACCTTTGTTTATGGTGATAGCGATCCTGGTGGGCATCAAGCGGTATCTTACTGTGGTTTTGATTTGCATTTTGCTGATGACTGGTAATATTGAATATCTTTTTGTGTACTTGTTCACCATTTATTTTTCTTCTTTGGAGAAATAGCTCTTTATGTCTCTTAACCCTTTTTTTACTGCTGAATTTTTAGAGTTCTTTGTAAGCTTCAAATATTGTTACTTGGCATATGGCTTCCAAATATTTCCTCTCATTCTGGATTGTCGTCATTTTTGTGATAATCTCTTAATACACACAAATTTTTATGATCAAGTCCAATTCATAATCATTTTTCTTTTGTTGTTTGTACTTTGAAAAAATTATCATAATCCTCTATCTAGCAAAAGATTTCAAGCTTTGCTCCTATGCTTTCTTCTAAATTTTATCATTTTTTTGTTCTTATATAAAGGTCATTTGTTTTGAGTTGGTTTTTTTATATATGTGCTATGAATGGGCCTAACTTCATTCTTTTGAATCTTGAAATCTAATTTTCTCAGCATCCTTTTTTTGAAGAAACTACTTTCTCCACTGAATAGAATTTGATACTTTTAGCAATGATGAATTAGCCATAGATGTATGGGTTCATTTCTGCATTCTCAGTTTTGTTCCATTGCTCCACATGTCTATCACTGTACCAGAACCAGTCTTGGCTGTAACTTCATAGTATGTTTTGGGTGATGTGAGCCATCTTACTGTGCTCTTTTTTTTCAAGCTTGTGTTGGCTATTTTCAAGCCCCTTGCAATATAAAATAAATTTGAGGATTCGTTTTTCCAATTCTGCAGAAAGATGCTGGAAATTTGATAGGAATTACATCAAATTGACAGATTGCTGTAGGTAATCTTGCCATCTTAACAATATTAAGTCTTTCCATGAACATGGTATGTCCTTCCATTTATTTAGGTTTTCCTTAATTTATTTCAACTATGTTTTATAGTTTTTACTTTTCATATCTAGATATAATACCTTAATTAGAGCAAATCATGGCCTCTGGTGATGTGCAGTACCACTTTCTGGCAAATGACTTTTTTTCTACAACTATTTGCAAGTATGACCAAAGCAGTTTACCTGATATGACCAGCAGTATATCATCTTGCCTCAAGGAGGGCCGCTTAGCCCTCCTTTTATTCCATAGTCTAGTCTCAGATTTTAATGTACTTCATCTCTTACATGATGGTGCAGGACTGAGCAGTGTTTCCTTCTGTTGTAAATAGGTTGCTATGAGTCGGACCCGACTCAAAGACACTGAACAATAACAACAATAACCTCTCGGGACTTTATTACATTGATTTAATTCTTATTGGGACCGATAAGCAGGTAGGAGCAGGTACATTTGACC